TCGCTAGGACCGCCTATCCCCACTTCGCACGCTTTGTTGACAATCGTGACACGAGTAGAAGAGCGATATAATACAATTCGTATATATTCTGAAAATCCACGATGATCAAGTCTAACATTGGAAGCTGAAACTATTTTCGTAACTACGAAATTACTATTTGTAAATTAAACTTGTATTGATCTACACTTGTATCATAGAGAAATAAGGAAATTTTTCGTATCGATGTGATACGAATGCTGATTCATCGAGCTTTAGATCCTCGTTTTGGGCACAGGAGACTTTCGTATTCCTTCTTTCCAACACGGTGAATTCGCTAACCAATTCGGGTGGAAAAATTGCATCGACGGCAGGTTAAAGAAGGCACGGTTATTTAATATTACGAGATCTAGCAAACGCTTAACCTCGTGGTGGGCCACTCGTCGCAAAAACGAACAGCCGCTAACGACCACGACGATTTATCGGAAGCCATGAACGATCGTTAAGCTCTCTCTCTCTCTCTCTTTCTTCGCAGAGGGCTCGAATGGAACAACGAGCGCGCTTGTACCGGACGGTGGCTCGCGATTAAAGGTGACCCCGGCATGGGCCGCCTCGCTTCCGAGAATATAAATTAACGACGTCGGTGACCCAATTCTCTCGGCCCGGAGATTTATATCGGAGACGTGCGAATCGTTGTTCGCCCGTTTAACTCTAATTAATCGTTATTTATTAGCGGCTTTTTTTTTTCGGACCGATTATTAATTTGTTCTCTCGAGATATGAAGAAGTGAGAAGAAAGGTAAAGGAAATGTTGGCGCGAATGGAATACACTCGATATTATGAACGTTCGTCCCTGTGAAGTCGATGAATTCCTTACCGATACATTTAACGCGAATAGAGGAGGATTGATCGAATAGAACTTATTAAAGTGTTGGATCACTTTATGCTCTGTAATGTACACGAGTTTTATTAAAACCGTTCCAATTGTTTAAAGAACTGTTGGATCATTTTACACTCTGTAATTACGAGTTTTGTGAAATATCTTGGATTTTTCTTTACGTCCCAAACGCGTAGCATATTGTCGTGTTAAAATAATTCTAATTGTTTAAAGAACGTTAAAGTGTTAGATCATTTTACGATCTGTTATACTCGATTATAAGATTAATTACGAGTTTCGCGAAATTTTTTGGA